GATGCGGGACTCGATCCCAGGACCCTGGGATCATGACCTGAGCCGAAGGCAGACGCTTAACCGTCTGAGCCACCCAGGCGCCCTAAGAAGATTTCTTAAGTGAGCATTTTGTTTCTTCTGTGAGCTCACTTTTTTTCATATTATTTCATAGGTGCAAGTAGCTTATACTTCTGAGGCTATAAATTGTATTTTTAAAAAGACTTGTTTGAATTAGCTTGGCCTGTTAGGAGTGTCTTTGTGTCTATTTGCTTTTTAGTCAGTTTGGGAGGTTTTCTTTACATTTCCTGAGATCTGAGGTGGACCCTCCACAGAGGCACAGAGGAGAGGTTTTCTTTACATTTCTTGAGATCCGAGGTGGACCCTCCAGAGAGGCACAGAGGAGAGGTTTTCTTTACATTTCCTGAGATCTGAGGTGGACCCTCCAGAGAGGCACAGAGGAGAGGTTTTCACATTTCCTGAGATCCGAGGTGGATCTTCCAGGGGCACCGAGGAGAGGTTTTCTTCACATTTCCTCAGATCTGAGGTGGATCCCCCAGCGATGCACAGAGGAGTTGGTTGGAAGCTGCATGTGTAAGTGGCGCCTGGTGGACTTTAGTTACATGATTGAGGCCTTGTCCAAGGGTCAGTATTTTCGGGTGTTTTCTCTAAAGATGGGTTTTCAGATTTCCTACCTGTAGGAGAAGAATATTAACCCTCAGAATTCCTGATTTCTCCCTTACAGTCCTGTAGCTTTATGTCTCTTGAAGCCTCCCCACCAGAGGCCACTTCTGGTCACACAAAACTGGGCTTGTCAGATTTGCTCAGTGGCAGGGACAGAGTGCTCTTGATGGCCTCCCAGGGAGATTTCACAAGAGGCAGAGCTGTTCACAGGGAAGAATGAGTGAGTTGGTAGGGTTGGAGGCACTTAGTGTGGTGTGGACGAGATTGGTGAGGATTCCGAATCTAAACGAGGGGCTGAAACAGACAGGGTCTTTATCTTTGGAAAATCTGAGCCCACTGAAATTAACAGCTTAAGGCATGTCTGGGAGCTGTTGTAGGTTTGGTTCTAGACCACCACAATAATGCAAATATTGCAGTGAAATGAGTCAGATGAATTTCTTGGTTTCCTTGTGTGTATAAGAGTTATGTTTACACTCTGTTGCAGTCTACCTGTCTATTTTTTTAAAGATTTATTTATCCATTTTAGAGAGAGAGAGTGCATGAGTGGGGGGAGGGAGACAGGCAGAGAGAGAGGGAGAATCTCAAGCATACTCCCCACTGGGCATGGAGCCTGACACGGAGCTTGATCCCACCACCGTGAGATCATGACCTGAGCTGAAACCAAGACTCAGATGCTCACCTGACTTAGCCATCCAGGCACCCCCCTCCCCCCCCTTTTTTTTTTTAAAGTAAGCTCCATGCCCAACGTGGGGCTTGAACTCACAGCCCTGAGATTGAATTAAATGATCTACCGACTGAGCCAGCCAGTCACCCCAGTAGCATTATGTCTAAAAAACAATGTATATACCTTAATTAAAAAAGTTTATTCCTAAAACATGTTCACCATCATCTGAGCTTTCAGTGAGTCGCAAGCACTGGTCACAGAACACTGTAATAAATATTGTAATAATGAAAACGTTCGGAATATTGTGAGAATTACCAAAATGTGACACAGAGACACGAAATGAGCAAATGCTGTTGGAAAAATGATGCTGATAGACTTGCTTGGTGCTTCAGTTAGTAAAA